GAACACTCAGAAGTAGCATGGTTCTCTGTGAATATGCAGCCAATACTCGTCGCAATCTGCCGGCATGTCGGCCTGGGGTTGCTAGGAACATCATAAAAGCAGTTCTGTAGGGTAAAGTTCACATCTGAAGGGTATATGCTTTGCTTCAAAGAGCAACCACTGCTTCCTCTAGGTCAGAGATCAGACTCTGCCTCAAGCGGCAGAGCTGAAGTATCTTTCTGTCTTGTTCTGAGTTGATGGTGGGATGTATTAACAGAGGGGGGACTTGGTATGAAATGATACAGGCACTGCTGAGGTGTGTAACGGCAAAAAAGAAAGAGTTGAGTAAGAAAGAAAAGTAGTTAATTTGCCTCTGTCAATTATCTTATTGTGATATTTGTTTAAGAAATGTTGGTTTGTGTCCAAAAGACACGGATCTTGGATATAAGTGGCTCAACTGAGGTAAATATTAGTGATGGGATTAAGATGGTGATTGTTCGTGGGAAGAATTGTGATTTGGCAAATAGGATCCCTGACAATTATGGAAGGATCACATTAACAGTCCATTCAACAAGCTTTTATTACATTTCTGAATAAAAAAATTGGTTTTAATTATTATTTTAATCATTAATCAATGTTCCCTACCTGGGTATTTCAAAAATATCACAAATGTAATAAATATATCCTTGATTATATGTTAGAAACATAAGATAATGTATAGTTAATGTGCATCTTCTAGTTGTTGGCTCAGTTGAAGACTTTAGAAATAAAGAACATCAAGTTTTCCATCCTAGTTCCATCTTCCACATAACAGATATCACATATTTCCTGATCCCACCATTAACTGTAGCAGTTTGTAAATGCAGTCTTCTATTTTGTGTAAAAAGTCAAGTACTCTTCTATCTTCCATCAGCATATTATGGTGATGACAGTAATGTGCCACTTCTAGTCTCAAACACATTTGAAGTGTTTGTTGCTTGATTTGCACGAATAAAAGACCCTTTCTTTTCATATTCATAATGGTTCTTCACAAAAGCTCCCACTCCCTCCTTCCGGTCTTCTTCCCCTCACATGCGTCTCTCACTTCTTACTCCTTCAATTTTTAACCAAACTTCTATATTTCAGAGAAAAAGGGAAAAACTGACTGGCCTTTCAGTGTTTGCTACTTGAAGCAGATGGGCTGTGTTGTGTGGAGGTCTACTGGGTGTGGACAAATCTACCAGCTCAACCCCGTAACCCCTGCAGAATTCTGCTGTGGCAACGCTGCTGCTAAAGTTACGGAGCTCCTGCATAAAGTCTGGCAAACTTTAAAGCAAGACGAATAAGTGAGGGAACTTGAAGAGCAGGATCAGTCCAGAGGGTCCAAACTTCTGACACTCCCAGGTGGGCTTTATTTTATGCCTGTTTTTTTACATTGAATATTTTTTTTTATCTGACAGTGAAGTAAGGATATTTTGAAAGAACAGTCATACATATACTTTTATTTAAAGTATAAAGGTAAAAATATATTTTCATATTTTTCCTATTCATCTATGTGCATTAAAACGTGCATTAAGTGTAATTTTAAAAAAGCATTGTTAAATGTTCTTCAAATTGTAAGTTTGATAATACTAAGATTTATTAAGTAAGCTAGTTAAGATTTGCTTAAGCAACTGCATGTTTTTTTTTGTTTTGTTTTTTTTTTTAGCTGAAAACAGAATACTTCAGCTGATGTATATGAAAGGATTTAAGGCCACATTTTGAAATATTGCCATTAACAATTTTTTTTAAACGTTTGCATTATTTGTGCCAGTATAAACAAAGTTAAGCTATGGAAACAACATTCAAAAGTATTGGATATGGATCAATATAAATTGTAATGGTTTAGGTCAAATAAAGACTGTGGCAAAATATTTTTTTAATTCAGTGCTTTTATTGATAAAATGCCTATGCAGTTGGATCAATCATAACAGATGGCAAAGATGATCATTAAGGGATCCTTTGAAATGACTGTGCAAATGACAATGCTGAAAATCCTACTTGTTTGTGATCTTTGTGGCCTCAGGCTGCACTTTTTGAAGCAAGCTCAACATGACCAGATCGTCTTTATTCTCCAGATGTGCAAAGCTGCGGCAGACATGAAGAACTACAGATGTAATTAAAAGGTTCTGCAAAGTATTCAGACTGACTGAATACAAATTTTCATCCACAATGATAGGTATGCAATATTTTACGTTGGTGTTTCACAAAAAACCCCAATAAAATGAAGTTTTCAGTTAAGTGGCAAAAAGTGAAATGCTGAGACATGTGGTGTGAATACTTTTGCAATGCGCTGTACAAATTAACATTTTATTTTATTACTCAGAACTTACGGTTTCTGACAGTTACTTTTTACAGCTCTTTTAAATCAGTTTTTTAATCACTGACATTTAAGCAGAAAACTCAAGGAGTGCGTATAACTGTCACCTAATAAATGAAAATCACTTTAGTGTTTCAATCAATATGACATTTAACTTGCTGACTTGTGTATGTGGGGGGGAAAAAAAGCCAATTTGAAAAATGAACTGAATATGAACTTCTCAGCATCACATTTATTCCCTCAATTTTTTCTAATAATTTGTCAAAAAGAAACTCATCTTCCTCCAGACCTTGATTAAATCGGCCCCCTGCACTGGTAATTTTTGCGAGTAGCCTGTAGTGGTACTGGGTGAGCAACAGGTGCGTTAGTGAAATGAAACGCTGCAAATTAGTGAAATGGCTTTTTTAAAGCAGAAATGCCTCCTTTAGTCTCTCAACGCCCCACAGGGACACTCAAAAACTCTTACGCATGTTATATTTATCTACTTGTTCCTTTTGCCATGTCTTAATCTCAAATTTATAGTCAAAGTTCTACTGTCTGTTTGGGCCTGCTCATGGATAAATTTCAAAATAAAGTAATAATATGCATACTATGAGAAAGCTATTTTTTAAAGGGACATTTTGGAGGTATGGTTTATAGTTTAATTCAGGTTTCTGTTTCTTGTTTAATTTCCTTTGCTTTATTTGCGTTTTACACTCTGTTGTGAAACAAGATCAATACAATCCTCCATTGGGAAAAAAAACAGTTTCAGTAAAGATTTAGATTTAATATGGATGGAGTTAAATATTTGCCTTTCTGTTCGGTGTAATGAAGGCAGATAAATGACTAAACGAACATCCAATTTCAGCAGCCTATGAAAGTGCAATAAAAACGACAACTGCTGGTTTGCTGCTGTAACACATTTTGCATGGAACGTATGCAACCAGCTGGAAGTGATAAATGCGCATTGAGAAGAAGGGTTTATTTAAGCATTTCAGCTCTTTTCTCAGCAGCTGAAAATGTTCAGATTTGTGATTACAGTTGTTGAAATATCGCTTGATGTGAGGCAATAGCAGCCATTTCGCTCATGTGCAACCGAGATATACAGCTCTCAATAAAAGGCCAAACAGTAACTGACAGAGCAATTTTCCACTCAAGGTCTCCATAATACATTACATGAGCATTAACTGGAACACATAGATCGTGGTATGAAAACCAAACTGTATTTCACTGTATGTCTTTTCAACTTACAAGGTTGTTATTGTGAAATAAAAGCCATACTCTAAAGTCAGGTATGAAATAAGTTTAAAAGGGCAGAAAGCTAAACATTCCTTGCTTTCTGTCAAGGTTGGCTAAAGAGAAAAGCTTCTTTGGTAGAGCCTGCAATTCTAACAGCACAGGAAGATTTGTGGTAGGTTTTTGGTTTTCTGCTCTGCTGATGAAGAGCTTTGAATCAGAAATAAATTCAGAACAGACAATTCTGCTTTTCACAAGAGGATTAGAGTCACTGAAAAATGAAATAATTTTTACTTTAATCAACCATGGAAAAAATGCCATAAATCCAACATGTTCCTCAAGAAAATTAGTTCTTGTCTAATTTTCTTTCTGTCATTGAAGCTGCTTGCTTCCAGCTGCCCACCTGTCTTAAAGTCAGAAGTCTGAGATTAAACTAATAGATAAAAAAGTCTGAATTATTTTGGTTTTGCTTTTGTTTTTTTCAGTGACCCTAATCCTCTTCCATAGCTTTCAACTGCTAGAATCTCCAGAAGAAATAACGGATGTAGTTTGCTCAGACAAGAAAACATGAAAACCTCGTAACGAGAACAGGTAACATTCACTTGTTCTCGTATGTGCCGCTGAAACTAGCAACCAGTTACAAACAGCTAAACTATCAGGGTTCACTTATTCAACTTTTACCTGTGGCAGGCCTGTGTAACATGAAGGCTTTCGCAGAATCAAAGCAGAACATGATGAGAGTTTTGATAATATATCCATAATGAATGTTTCAGATGAGCTTAATAATAACCAGGAAAAAAAATCCAGCAATGTCAGCATAATTAATGTCGTCATGCTTTGAAAAGTGCATGAATGGACTATAGTGAATTGAGCATTTGTCAAAATGTATGGAACATTATTTAGTATAAGGTAGTCCTAATACTGATTCTGTCACACAGTAAAAGAGTAGCAACACAAACCGTTTATCTCAAAGCACTTAATTATTAATGCTCAACCACTGCATTTGGAAGGACATCCATCAACACTGACCACATGGCGTCTGATGCTACACTGACCAGACTGATTTATACTGAAAGCAAAAGAGCTAAATAACTCTGAAGATACGAATCTATCAGATCTGCTGAAAAAAGGTTAACATTTATCTTTGTTCAGATTTTTCCAACTGATAATTATAAAAACCTAGAAGAAACAAATGCCAATCCTGAGCATTTCTAAATATCAATTTAAAAATCACGGAAAACCAAATACAAATATGGAGAGTGTACATATTGTTTTATCTTACAAAAACAACAAAAATATGAATAGTAGGTGAGATTTTCCTTCAAAAGCTACAAAAATACTTGAGTAAAGAATGAAACAGGAGAACTTAATAAAAGACTTTCGAACCCTACAACTTTTTCTGCCCACCTGCTGACTGTGAGAAATCCATCTGGAATACTGATTTTGTTCACTGTTTGTTTGGATTTATAAGCGTGTCAATGTTTGATCAAATCATTCGCAGAAGATTTAACCAAATAAAGAAAAAAAACTATAAATGCAACATCAAGAGGTAAATTTCCAGCTATTTAAAAAATACTTTTGAGTTAAAGCAACCAAGTGAAACAGTTTCCATTGCTCTCTTGTAGTTCTGTATAATCTGACAACAGATCTCTAAAATACAGAGTGAAATGTGTCACTTCACGCTTCTGGATATGCAGATCACAGTCTCAGCTGGTCTTTATTCTTTTTGGCCTCGTGTTTCAGAGGGACGGGAAAAGCTGAGAACAATATGGCAGAGCCTTTCATCAAACATCTGTCATCTCATCTTCCATCTCATCCCCTTCTGTTTCGCCCTCTGCTTCGCCCTCCTCCTCCTCAGATGTGACGTCCAGCTCGTCCATCTGGGACGTGCACTTTGAACACGAGCAGACAAACAGGTAGTTTTCTCTGTGAAGAAAACACTCAGTCAAGATATTGCACCCACAGAAACAGCTGAAGGTACTAAGAGATGGACAGATAGGGAAATGAATTCAACTATTTTAGTGAATACTTCAAATAATTTAATCAGCTAGCATGATATAAACACTCACCAAGGGCGGAAATGCACTTTTTTAAAAACTGAAATAAGCAGATCGCATTAAGACTTCAGGGGTTATTGAGACTGAATGTAATTTGAAGATGGATTGACATCAAGCAGATCAATGAGCAGCAGCTATGCCGTTTCTGCCTCAGGACTGCCCTTCAGAGCCTGCTGGGTTTTTTTATTGATCCACATTTAATCCATAAGAGTGTAACCCGCCTTTAAATGATTTATTCTAAAGATTACGTGCGTTTACCTCAGAATCTTGTGTCTGCTGTGTCGGCTTCTGTCCCGCTGACAGAAATCCAAATAACTGATGCAGATCTCCTGAACACAGAAGATGAAATTGAACTGAGGACCCCAGACCAGAAACCGCGCTCTTGGAAAAAACACAAGCTTCACTTTTCCAGCACATTTTTTCCATGCAAAAATTTCAACTGCATGAATGGAAAGGAATAAATGGATGATGAGCAAACAGATGGATGTAAAGAAAATCCAACGTATTTTCCTTACGCCTTTCCTTTCAATAAATTTTCTACGTCTTGGTAGAAATAGAAAACAAATGAGCAGATGAATGCATGGATAATTGGACGAACAGATATATGAACAGACTGATGTAAAAATGGAGGAATAAACAGAGACAATGGACAGAGCAGATTGAATTATGAACAATTATGAACATCCTATAATTAAAGCAACTTATTTTGACACAGGTTCTTTCAAATCTACAATTTCTACATGTTTCCAGATTGTGTGGGGACCACTGAAAAGTTGGGCTATTTTTACCAAGAACAAAAAGAAAATGATATGTTCCTGTCGGTGCACGATGCAGGAACATTTTTTTTTTTTGTTCTGTGCACAATGCAGCAGTAAGTTAAATCCCCCTGTTTCTTCATATTTTCCCCCACATCCACAGGAGAGATTTGCTGTGAAAGTAGCACAGCTTCTGTGACATTACTGTGCCATGCAGATGCAAGCCTTCTCAATCTTTCTGACAGCTTGACAAACCCACTCCGATTCTGGACGTCTCAGCCTTCTAATACCGTCTGACAAGGGAGAACACCAAGCTAGACTATAGAGGGATGTTCTGTCCCGTCTTTGCCAGACTAAAATACATCACTGTGAATCCAGCAGTGTCAGCTGACCTCTCCTGGGCTGATGTCACTCAGGGCATTGAGGTGAAGCAGGAAATTGTTGTTGGGGAAGGACGCTTCTGCGTTTGGGATGCAGCTGTGGTTACCTGCAAGAATCAAACATGGAAATCTTTCTGGTTTAATCTACTCTTAGAACTAGAACCTTTTTGTTGGAGATAAACAAAGAACATCGCTGACACTGACAGGAGCTTTGCAGCAGATAAAGTCCAGAACCCTCGCAGTTCAGAAACTCTCCCGTCTCTGCACAGAAACACACAAGTTATGTTCATTAGTTTCGACTTTCTGTTGGTATCTGCACACATTTTACATGAATCCACTGCAGAAAACTGCAATACAGACTAGAACAAGCTCTCATTGAGACAATATGACAGCTGCAAATCTCCTCAGCAGAGAATAAATCTATTTACTTCAGAAATTACTGCAGTACTGAGATAAAACAGTGACCTTTGTCGATGTCCTTGTATAACTGGTCAATAAAAGAGTCAAGTTGCTCCCTCTGCTGGTCAGGAAGCTCCAGTGCATCACAGGCATGAACCCACTGACTCAGAGAGCTGTATTAGACACAAAATTACATTCAAACAGATCCGGAAGCAAGCATGTGGACAGTTAAAGGAAGGAGCAGGGGAAAGGCTCACCTGGTGCCGATGCCCTGGCCATTTGTTCCCACCAACGCAAACAGAGAGCGGAAACCCTCAGGAACAAACCACTGCAACACAGATACACAGCTACTACTTTCATTCAGATTACAAATACCGTAACTGTTTGGTTGAATAAGAGTCGCATAGTGAGTTATTTTGCAATATTTTTATATAAGAGAAGCAACATTTAGAAAGGCATACTGACTCCAACACTGAGAATAAACTGAGCAGAAAAAACTGGAAAAGTAATCCAATCTATTTTTTTGGTCACAGTAAAATCTACAATTGTTAACAAATCAGAAAAAAACTGCAACTTATTAAGTTCTTTAAAAACACATGTACTTAAACACCATCCTCTGTAAAATGCTGCATGCATGGGATAAAAGTAGCGCTTAAAACATGTTAAATTATACATGTAGCACTAATAAAAACTTCCCATATTCTACTTCTATAGTTTTAAAACTATGTATTTGAATCAGTCTGTCTTTAATTATGAAAATATCATACAAACAACTTCACAACCAAATGTTGAAGTTCTAAAACAAAGCATTCACCACCACAGTTAGATAAATATCCCTTCCCAGTTACACCTATTTAGTCAATTTGTGCAAACCAGCAAAGACTTTGGCTTTAATTTGTTTTTGGCATAAATATTTACATACATAAATGTATGAAAGATAAAAAAAACTGCATTGTTTGTCACTGAGTTGCTGAGCTCTGAATGTAAAGTGTTTGAAGTGACACGTAGTAGAAGATTGTTTGCGATTGTTTTCTGTTCTGAAACTTCTCAGGTCCAGAGAAAAGGTGGATCTCAGTAATGTGAAGGGATCCACAGTAAGTGGAAAGCAAGGAACGAGGTTTTGCATGAAACTCTGACAAAGCCCATTACCATCTCCACATTCTTATGCAGGTTCAGGTCTACGTTATTTTGAATACTTCCTGTCCTGGGTCAACCAAGTGACGATCACACCTTTGGCAGAATGAAGTAGATTCACAGGTGTTTGTTTCAAGAGGGAAAAAAACACATCTCTGCTGTTTGCCAGCTGCGTGAAAATATACTCCCCGTTTCACCAGCTGCTAGTAATCCACTGAGTTTATTATAGTGACTCGTTTCCTGACTCAGCTTTAAAGTGTAGCTCATTAATTTTCAATAGGATTAAGGTCCAGGCTTTGGTAATCCTGTTCACAAATCATATGTCAGCCCACTTAATCCTTCCCAGAACCAGTTTTTAATGCGTGAATAAGATCATTGTTTGCAGAAACTCCTTCTTCCCTTCAAGTTAAAACCATCCTTGAGAGGCCTTCAAATCGAGTCCTCCAGGGCCGCAACCTGCAACGTTTACATTCGTCTCTGCTTCAACACACTTCAGTCAAATAATGAGATCATTAGGAAGACCATGGAGAGCTTGACTGAAACTGAGGAGGTAATTCAGAAAAACAGATTCATGTGGATTTGAAAACTTATGATCTAAGTGTGGATTTAAGCTTGTCATCCTTTTTTTGTCATTCCATATAGTTTGTGCAGTGGCAGCAAAGCAACCCCACAGTATGATGCTGCCACCACCTTGTGAGGGTTGAACTCCCAAACTGCTCAATCTTTGTCTCATCTGAACACAAAATATTTCTCCAGACAAAATTCGACTCATCCAACATGGCAGCTGCACATTTCATTTGAGTTTAATGGCGACAATTTTATGGTAAGAAATTGTTAAAGGATATGAAAAATTGCCAAGAGAAACTTAACTGAATATTATTGGTGGTTTAATGAACATATTTGATGATGCATGGGTTTGAAAAAATCCCCAATATTCATTTTTGTTTTACGAATCCACCTTGAACAAAAAACTGTTCACCGTTCCTGTTTCATTCCGATTATTAGTGTGTGTAAACTTCTGACCAGCTCTGAAAACCCCCCCAAAAATTCTTGCTTTTTTGTAGTTTTTTTGCTTTTTTTTTTTTTTTTGCTTATCAGAAATGAATGATTGCCAGACTGAAAAGATAAGGATGTGAGGAATACTGACCCGACTGAGATGCTCATCATAAAGTGCTTCTTTAAAAAGGCTGTGCAACAAGCCCAGCTGCCCCTACAAACACAAAGGGACAGAAAAATTAGATCCCACTGAACAAGAACCTTTCATAAAGTAAACGCAGCCACAGTGGGGGTTCAAGTCAAAGCAGCCCGCTGAGTTGTGAAGAACTCTGATGTTCTTTTTGAACTGACAGATTTAGAATAATTCACACACGCACATTGTGACCTGAGATCTGCAACAGGAAGCTAACTCACCCTGAACTGCTCTCCCAGGAGTTTATGGGCGATCTCCTCCTCCTCGTTCGCCGCCCGGCTGCAGAAGTGAGAAAACAGCTTCTGCCAGTGTGCTTTATCTTTGGCCTGGATAACATTCACATCATGGGGTCTATTAGTTAAAATGGCAAACAAAAGTTTAATTCATGTCTAATAAAAAAAAAAGCTCAAACTGAAAATTAATTTTGGTTTAGTTAATATGTTGATTAAACTTTAATTTTGTAACCTGCCTGACTGATTTCAAACATTTTATGAAGCAACTTTCTCATTAAGGCCATCTGTATCAATCTTAAAACTCATTTCATGGCTGATTTAACAATAAGGTTTGAATTATGAAACAATGCAGGATGAAAATCTAATTACATCCATAGAAGGTACATTTTGTATTGCAGCATCTGACTCGACATGTTTGAGTCATTCAAGACTCACCTGTTTGACCACAGCGACCATTTTGGCCATCAGCATGATGCTGGACGTCTCTGGGGGATAATGCACGCTCCTAAAAGCAAACGATACCTTTTAATTACGAGCGAACAAACATGTCTGAATGTAATCAAGACACAAGAGGAGATAAAATGATGAGTTAAAGTCTGCGTCACCTCCATGCATCTTTAAGCTTGTTGATGGGGTGGTCTGGATCTTCCTCAGAGGGACCCAGACACAGAACCCGATGGTACTGATCTGCAGCCACCTGCCAACACTCGCTGCTGCAGTACATCACCTGCAGAGCAGCAGAAAAAAAAAAAAAAAGTGATAAACAGTTTTGCATCACTTGTAATCAAGTGATTGCATCACAATGTAATCAAGAAAGCAATTGTTAAGTTTATTGGTCTTGTCATCTCCCAGGCGGAAAATACAAGTAGAAGATATTCAAGCATGCGAAGGGAAGTGAGTTTCAAGTGCATCTAATAAATTCTTGGGTAACCAAATTTATTTTTAGCTCATTGAAATATGTGTAAATATTTATAAATGGTTAAATTAATCTAATTCTAAAAAGTATTGAAACATTTCTGGAACATACGCTATTCCTCAACCTGTATAAAATGATGCATGGAGTTTTTTTGATGTTTAAAAACAAAAAAAAAAGTGTGGAAATGAGAAATGTGTAATCGAGCAACTAACCAGCAGGGGGCAAGTAATTTGGTTGCAATAAAAAATGTGATTTACTGAATATTAAAAAGATGTTATGTTCATGTCCAAATTTTAGCTCGAACAACTCATTACACTCCAGAGTTAAATTATTCAGATGCTGATGATAAAAAATGTAACTCCAGGCTTTAGATCTCGAGAAATTAAAACAAACTTGCTGTTTTTTTGTTGGGTTTTTTTCTGCATTGTGACCCCCATGTAATACCCGTGAATTTAAAACAGCTAAACTGCTAAAGGAAAGCTGCAAACCTAACTGTAAATCTAAAGCTGGAGAAATTGTTCAGTTTATTATCGTTAGAAAAACCCATCAATTGTCCAGAGATCAGATTCGCCCCATTTTAGCTCATGGGCTCTAATCAGATTTACAAAATGCATCAAAACTGAAAAATCCCACCATTGTTAATGCATAAATTAATAATTGCATTTATAAAATAATTAAATTATGAAAATGTAGTACATACTTTTGAATATAAATAGATACATAAATATAAATAAACAGTTCCATCCATTCAACGGATGAAGATGCTTAACCTCATCAATTTGGTACCATATATCCACCGACATGTCAGCATTTTTTCCCTCCTGCTTTTATTTTGTAGTAATTTACTGAGACGTACTGTCACTTAATTTTCCTCGTAGTGGAGCATTTTCATGAATTAAGGAGCAAAACTGATACAAAAAATTATCATTTAATTTGATTTTGAATATTATTTTAATTAACTTCATATTAAACCCTGTTTCTACTTCTATTTTTTTTGAGTTCCCATTTTTATTTTCAGATGCTGATTCTTGTGAAATACAACACATTGTGTGTTGTATTATAAATTAAAATAATAATGCTGATATGTAATATGTTACTGAGGGAGATAAAACCATATATCACTTCAGTCTTTCAGCATACCAGAAGTAGAAAATAAATCATCAGTTATCAAAACGAGAACAAAATATCCCCTATGTTTCTAAACAAAGAAAACAAAATAACAGACTAACTATTTCTAAAGTAGATACATGTTAGATTAGATTGATTAAAAACACACACTGTAAGAAGCAAGCAGATAGCTTCTTTTTATACCAATAAAAAAAAAATAACAATGCAAAATAGCAAAACACTGAAGCTTGTGATGTGGGGCAGCAGAGGGACAGTGAGTGGACCTGCCTGGCACTGAGGGCAGGCTTGATGGAGCTCAGGCCGGACGTGGCAGAGCTCGGGATGGGGAAGGCTGAGAGCGGGATTGCAGCTGAGTCTCCGGGCGTTTTCTTCTGCAGTCTCCAGAGCGCGTAAGCAGTACTCACAGGCTGGGAAAAGGCAAAAAACAGAGGAGAAACATATGAACTTTTAAAATATTTTAAGTTCAAGTTTATGCAAAACAACCACAAAAATTTCAGACCTGCTTTAATTCTGAAGAGTATGCATCTTGATGTTTTTTTTTTAAGTTTTTACATTTAAGAACTTCACTACAATGAACAGCACTTCATACCTTTATATTTGTACAAGGAATTCCACAGAAACTGAGAAGAAACCAGAGGCCGCTCAATAAAAATGGTCTCTCCCTTCTTGATGCTTCTTTTCGCAAAGAGCCCCTTACCCTGCAAACATTCAAACAAGTAGCTTGAGAAAAAAAGGAATGAATAAAGCAAAATACACTGCAGCCCTTACCACAATGATTTAGTTAGGGCTGTGTTGAAATAAGAATTTTAAAATAGCACAATAGTACATAAGTTAACTTTTAGGTTAAGATAAACTTAGATACAGATCCAAACTGGGACAGCTGGTGACTCTCACAACTTACAGAAAATTCCTAATCAGAAAACAGTCTTAGACTCCTTGGATCTCTTTAGACTGTCTGCCAGGCAATTAACAAATTCCTGAGCATGGTTCAAAAGTTCACTAAAACTTTTTATAAATAATTTTATCTATATTAGAATTAACTATATTTCTTTAAGCATGTTTTTAATTAGTTACTTATTAGATCCAAACTTATAGTCATTATTTAGCATTACATTGTGTGCAAGCTTGGTTAAAAATACAAACTACTTTCTTGTGGAAACATTTTGAGGCGAGATAATACTGCAGCTGCAATCATATATCAAACTGGACAGCGGCTGGTACGAGAAGTTTTCCGTATATATGCTTTTGGGGCTCTTTAGCAGGAGGTAATAAAATTAACATTAAGACAGCCCACACAAAGGAAAAGAACACACCTCCTAATGCATATATTTAAATGAGAATACGCAGTCTATAAAAAATGGTTTGTTTCACAGCAGAAGTTGGAATCTCTTTGTGCTCAGTGAGAGTTTCCCGGAGGATGCATCTTCTGTTATTCTTTTGTCTTTTTTTACTCAGTTCTTTGTCTCTGTTTTGTAATGTCTTGGACTTTTGATAATCTAGGTGAGATGCTTATTGTAACATTCTTCTTGCTTGATTTTCTCTGGATAAAACTCTGAATATCTGAAGTCTGACGTCGTATGATTGCTCTTTTCTCTCTGCACACTACACAGACACAAGAATTCGGGACAAAGAATTAATTAACGAGCTAAATCAAGTTATTCCACATTTTAATTCTTAACAGCTGATAAAAAAAGGTTATTAAAAAAATAAAACTAATGTTTAATAAGCTGTAATAATTACCAAATGAATTAAATAACTCAACAGTTTGAACTTTATGACATCATAGCTATTCCAGTTTAATCAAAATACAATATGTTGATGATTTGACTAGAAACAAAGATGTTTTAATGCTCCAGGCAGCTGTTAACCTCTGCGCTGCGACACTAAAGGGTCTCAGTGAATCGTGGGAAGGAAAACAAAGAAAAACCAATGAGTTTGCATTATATGCAATAATATCCAACATAATAGATAACCTTTTAAACTAAAATGTGATCTCGCTGCCGCCTTACTTTATTTGTTGCTCAGTGTATAACGTCATGTCATGCAGCAGTGAGCTGCAGCCGACATGCGGCGAGCAGCACGGCTCCTCCTCTGAGGCGCCACAAAACCACAGAACAACTTCAGTCTGTTTAAATGTGACAAAGCAGGAAAGTCTCACCTTTATGTTGTCTATAAACTGGATTTCCACGCTGCCGGTGACTTTACCCGGGTCCACACAGAGGGAAAACATGTCATCCACGGGAGCAGCCATGTTTGACAACAGATGTACCCTTTCAACCCTTTGAGATAACCATACAGAAAAATATGCAGCGCCTCCTCCTGGTGGGATGATGAATAGCACATTTTCTTTCTTTTCTTTTCTTAATTTCCATTTTACTCATAAATCTAAACTGAAATTATAAAAGCAATCAAACATGTTAAATTAGTCCTTCAGATATAAGATAGCCCCTAAATTCAAAGGATATAAGAAGAATGTCTGTGAACTCCTTTGAAATTCAGATACAATGAAATTATAAACTAATTAAGAAACGGGATAATTTTAATACAATTTTTGAGTAAGTTGAACAAAAAAGTGAAACGAAAACATAAAAGCTGCTTCCCAAGAGCACACACCTTACAAACTGACTGAAATATATATAATTTACAATAATACAAACACAGATATTACATTTTTGACAAGCAAACATTTAATAGGAATGAATTTATAAACAATACATTTCATCTCATATATGTTACACATACAAAAAAATAACAGAAAAAAAATCTAATGTAACTGCAGTTAAAGTTGAATAACAGTCAATAGTGTAAAAATATTAAGACAAAAAGTTCAGACAATGTCAGAAATTAAAAAAAAGTGCTCTGTTCATATTTATCAGTTTATAAATCAGCAAATATCTGCAGCAGAGATTCATTAAGCCCCAGTAAAAAGGAACAGCTAAAACAAATCTAAACTGGTCAAGTAATATGTGACCAGTTTAGATTTTTACAGACTGCTCCAACATATAGATGTACAACACAAAGTCTGACTCATTTCAATGATTTTTAGATAATACCCGTCAGAAATTACTGTTTTATATCACAACTCTAGCTTATGTTACAACAGAACAGCCTTGTGACTGAATAAAGGTAGTCATGATACCTTTCACCTTTATTAGCACAAATAGATCAACAAAATATTTTATTTCAGCACATCCACCATTAGTAAAGATCAATTAATTGGTATTGTGTGCTTTGGGCAAACAAGCCAAAGACTAAATCTAATTTTGTATGTTTGTGACAGTAAAACATTTTAAGTTAAGAATTATTTTATAATCTTTTTGTATTTTTAACCAATTAGAAATAATTAATATATTTCTGTAAGGTTACAAATAACATAAACTAAATTTCTTTGTACATTATTTTGTCCCTTTGCTCCAAGTATGCCTCTGAAAAAGAAATATGTTTAAATTTCCCTACCGTCCCCTCATGCAGCAGAAATAATGACAAAGTATGAGGGTTGAGGGATGAAACTTAATCAGCATAAAACTGCGTTTTTGGCAACAAACTCTACATGTAGGACTAGTTTAAAAAGCACTGGAGGACAAATCTGTAAATCATGTCTACAGGTAGCAAATATTGAGTCCCTACAATGCTGTGGTCCAGTTTTAAATAAATACCTGTTGGACTTTACTACTGAACATGAAATGGGTCACCAATGAGGTCTTCCTGTCCTTTATGCCAAAACAGGTTGTTCAAAGTTTCAACAGCAGGGAAGAAGAAGAAGAAGAACTAAATAAATTACTGAAAGAACTAGCAAATTTAAAGGTTGGAACATTTCTTAGTGTAAACATAGGCTGCTGCTATAAAAGAAATTTCATCTGAGGCATTTCTACATTTCCACTGGGGTGCCTATAAATGTGCAGGGGGTTGTCTATTAAGTGTATTTTGAGAGGCGCCTTCAGTAATATTAATGCACAGGGAAGAATCCCCACACTCTGCAGCTGCTCTCTGCTCTACAAAAACTCAATAACCCCTTTCATCCTGCTGCTTCCACTGACAGAAAAACAAACATAACATCAGCTTCCAGAGCTCAACACATCGGGACAAAAATATATGAAGAAACATGAGAAAAACACAAAACATATCTGACTCAAAAACAGTCCAGGAAAGGCATATTTGAACAATCTCATTATCAGAATTTAATGGATCAGCATTTAAGTTGATGGTGTAACAGAAACTTTATTGACATTATTGACAAAAAGGGATGTTATAGAGGTACAGTTCTTGGACAGCTGTAGTGAAGGCAACAATCTCTGGGCTATTGAGAGGATTCACCCTGGCTCAGTGAATGCAGCATTTTCTGTATGAGAACAGGTCTAGGAATGTTGGGTAAATACAACTCTAATAATAATTACATGTCAGATACCCCGAAAACCCTGCAGCAGGGTCGCAGTTACAGTCCTTCATAAAGCAGTCTGAGTTTAGAGCTCCAGTCCCATCTTCATCATAAACCTTTGTTGTAGGTCAACACTTTGCAATCCGTTGCCATGGCAATTTCCGGCTCAAGGCGAGACACCTCAATCTGCCAAAAAAAAATAGACAAGAAAAAAAATTATACTGAATTGATTAAGCTGTGTACCTCTGGGTTTCACCTTGAAAGTCATTTTTAGAGAGCTGAGTGGAGAACAAAAGCCTGCAGGAGCTGTGGGAGTTAAGTGGAGTATGTTTAATGTGAATATCTTCCCAGCTGCTCCATGAGCCATCTGGCCTTCAGAGCAGCTGAACATGCCGTACCTGAGACATCTGAGGGAAGAGGCTGATAGCCACAGGCAGCGAGAGGCCGAACGTAACCAGGCATACAACGCTGTGGATGGGCAGCAGAAGTCTGCGGTTTCTCTGCAGGAATCGCAGCCTGTGTTAGTTAGGACAAGGATAAAAGGGAACATGAGCCTGCAGCGTGGATTGATCCTGGCTGACTACTGCAACGCCTGGAGTTATTTTAGGATCGTTTGCAGATCTAGGGGAGCTGTTTCACACAATTAGAGGGTGGGAAATTCAGAAGGATGGAGCTTAATTAACCAGATGGCACATTTCTTCTGTTATTTAAATAAAAATCCTAAGTTTATTTTTCCCTTTTTCTGCATTTCTGTCTTCTTCAGTAAAATTTCCCTCCACTATATTGGCCGCAGGGCACAGCATATGTTGGCTCCCATTTGGTACATGCACAATTATATGGACTAGTTTCAAACCTTCAAAGCTGATGAATATTTTTCATAAATTACAAGAGGTTCATTTGATTCAGCGGGTCTAAAAAGTGTAGCTGCAGACCCTGTTAAAATGTCAGGTGTGAGGTGAAAAGTGAGACACTCCTAAATTATAGCAAATATCTAAGGTCAAATATCCAAATCATTTTGGACATTTTTCCCTGGAGTCCTCTTCAGATGTCAGCCCACAATTTTTCTTTCATATTTAGCACCAGGCTATTTCAAAACTCTGATTATCTTCTCCTCAAGTCATTTTTCTGTTATATATTCTGTGACTCAATTATTAAAATCTAATGAATAAAAATAGAGCAATAAAATATTCAATAGAAGGAAAATCTTGTATTAATCTTAAATGAATATGAAATAAACATAAATTATCCTATATGTTGGATATTTAAAAAGTAAACCTTTGATGCAAGTAATTTTTTTTTCTGTTCTTAACTTTGAAATAGATGGAGAGTGAGTTACTTTTTTTTCCTGTTTCAAGCAGCATCTGCTACAGGTTTATACAGAGCCTGCCACATTTATTGGCAGACGTAGTAAAAATGTGAACAGTAGCTTTAAAGTAAATTTGAAAAGTATTTTTCTTGAAAACCTACCAGCAAAAATTGTTGGTATATCAATACATTAAAGTGGTTGTTATATAGACTTGATGAGCAAAGATTATCCTCTTTGACAAGAATACAACATATTAGTTGTTTTATTTGATTTCTCAAATGCAATAATTTTTTTTATTATTATTATTATTTTCACTTGTGTGTTTCTGCACAAACCTTTCGAGGTAGGACATGATGATTGGCGGCAGCACAAAGATCGGCATAGGAAGGACCACACGTGTGAAGGCGGTCTCCATTATTGCCTGGGAATAAACAACAAAGATTGTGGACAGGTGATTAAATCTGATGCTGAGAGAATCGAGCGAAGCAGGAAATGAGAAGTCTCCAGTTAGCCACCATAATATTGAACATTAAATTCACAGTCATACAATACAAAACAGCAGCTTACATGTCGAGCAGCGATTTTGGAGGACCCCACCACGTTGCCGTTGTTGTCTAGAACGTCGATACCTTCAGACAGTTCGTTGTGTCTCATCAGGGCTACGTTACAGATGTTTGCACTTGCTACAAAGGAGCAAAGGAGGCTTTATAAAACATAAAACACCAATAAGAATACAATACAATTTTTGCTAAAAATAAACAGCAGGATTTTAAATTAGATACTCTATGAACTTCTTAGTTATTTGGGTAATAAAGATAATGTATCTTCTATGAGTGTGCAGCTCTAACTGGCAGAGTGATATATAATAAAAGTCTCATTGTGACAGAGGGTCTTTTGAAAACCCACCCACAGCTGGGAAGGGGACAAATCTCTGGATGATCATTCTGGTGGCAGGGCTCAGCTTGTTGGCCTTCTGAATCAGCACATTCAGTCCCACCTTTAAAGAAAAAAAAAAAATACAAATTAGAAAAAGTAAAAAGCTGCAACTGATGCAGTTGTATTAAACTAAATCTTGTACTTTTTTCAGTGTACTAATCTAATTAATTTTAACTTAAAAATTGCAACTAGTAACCAAGATTTCTAAGAATTACAGAATATCACAAGCAATGACATCAACTTTGGTGAAGAAGAAAGCTAAATTACTGCAATAGAGACAGCACTGGTCACAGCTCCGACATAGCCTTCAAGAAACTTAGATGTAGGAGTAGGCTGCAGACAAAAAAATGAAAGCTGTCAGTTTTATTTATTCAGTTTCTACAAAAAACGTGAATCGGAAGTTGTTTTTACCTTTGTGGCATTCCGGTTGGCATAGTTCACACAGGCATTGTGACTCTGGTTCAGCCACTGAAAGAAAACAAAACACAAAGCACAAATGATCCATAATCTATGAGGAAGGAGCGAGAAAAGAGGCAAGTTTCTCACAGTGGCAAAGCTGACCAGATGATCAAAATGGATAACAGATGTTGTGATCTGATGGTGCTAAAACATGTGGCTTTTCTGCCTTTAAGTATTTCCTATAAATATGCATAAATATGATGCAATCAATGTAATATTCTGACTCAGATTTTAACAAGCAGATTAAATAAATTGGATGGATCAAAATAAGGCAGTGCCTCATCGCAGATCAGAAAAATAAATATTTATGGTTTTCACTCTTACAAATGAAAATCTGAAAACATCAAATTACATTGAGCCTTCTTTCGTTAACATTTTGTGAAAAAAAAATAAGTGCAATTACATTTGCAAGTATTTAAAAATATGTCTCTATCACTTGTGGAGATCAGGAGACTAAAACTTTTGTTTATTCCAATCTCCTCAGTTTCACTAGAGATGTTCACTATTAGTTTTCTGGCTCAAAGATTTGCATGCAGGACAAGAAATTCGGTTTTGATCAGGGCACCTTCTCTCACCACTTCCCCAAATCGTAAAAAAATCATATTTATACACAAATATAAATGACTGTAAAGGTTTTGGATACTTTAAAGCGCCACAGTTGTTAGTTATTTTCAGTACCTGCCAGATAATGGTAGACATCACAGTCTGATTTGGGAGGAGAAGGCCAATGACCTAAATGAAACCAGGAAATAAGAGCTTATTTTTGAACAAAAATAAGTCCAAAGTTTCATTTTTTTTCATCCCCAAACATGCTTACATTCATAATGCATGGGTTGTATGTTTGACTTACAATTGGTGTTCCGAATGGCACATAACCTGCATAGTGGAAATATGATTTTCAGCATAAAAGCGATGGGAAAAATGATTCGGTTTGAGGAAATCTGGACAAAGATCTTCATCTGAGGACATACCTGACATTCGAAATGGCATGAAGATCTTCTCTCCTGTGTCAGGGTGAATGATGGCCTGTGACACAAAGCATGAGAGCTTCCTCATGCTGCCACCAGCTCAGGGATGAATGGATGAAACTGGATTTAAGATGAAGAAACTTAGACTTACCTGTTTAATCTTCTGGGCTTCCCACAACTACACAGCAAAACCAGATTGACATTAAAGGAGGAATGTCATCCTTTAGCTTCCATTTTCACATTTTTCACCATAGGTTGCATCATATCTTATGATGCAATCAACTTTATAAATTAATTATTCAAGAAATTGCTTTAAAAACTTCTCACAGTGTTCCAAAGACAAATGCGCCTAATTTTTCGTTTTGAAATAAAGGAACCAATTAGGAATTTTGCATGTGTGTTTCATTTAACTCATCAGCTTTGAATCTTTCAGAAAAGGGGAATGATTCGTTGCATTACTTATATTATTCCAAGCCTTCTGAACATATTTTGAAACACAGTTTGCATCAACTCTGGCAAACGCTCACCTGATCTGCAGACACTCCCGGAGGAAGTGTGTTGTGTTTATAGTCATCAAGGAGTTTGATGCATTCTTTTAACTTTTTCTGAAAAAAATAAAATAAAAATGAAATAAAATAAGCAATAAATACACTGACCTATGGGCAAGGGTGTACAGAAAATGGATGGATGGACACACTAACCTATTACTTGATTAGCTACACTGGTATAATTGTTATTGCTATGATGAGTCTTGATTTCAGATGCAAAATCCAGATAGCAGGGTTAGAATTTTATGAGGAATCTTCATCTTGTCTTCTATTAACTTTTCAGGCTAGTGTTGCTCATATAATGGTAAAGGAAATATTTTCTTGGCATATTTTGGGCCTTCTGGTACCAATTGGGATTAATATAAACTAAGACTAAGCAGACTGTTCTTGGCCACCTTATACAAGTTTTTTTATGCCTATTTCCAGCAAAATGAGACATCCCATCAGAAAGCTCAAGTAATCCCAGATGACAATTGGCTGATTGTATTCTAAAGATCACTGCAGTCTTTGGGATATGTTGGAAGACATTATTTCATTGGATATACAGCTGAACAATCCATTTCAGCTATGTGATATTTTATGACAAAATGGGCCAAATATAGGAGCAATGTTTCTGCCTTCTGAACCGAAGACCTCGTGAGTGGTCAGAAATTACTGAAAACTCTAAAATTACAGTTTAAATTTCTAAATATGCATTAAGCTCACTAAAGTTCAATATGTTTTCTTTATTATCCAGGAGTAAATTGTGATATTCAACAATGAAAAGAGAACCCAAATGTTTGATATTATTAGAGACCAAAGTTGTCCTTTTATTCAGATAACAGATTGTTTCAATAAAAGAGAATAACAGAACTTTGCACACTAAAGAGATGCCAAACATATAAATACTTACAAAACAAGCATTTTAACAGGAATCTTTACCTCTGAGACGAACAGGGTGCGGGGATCAATGATGTCAACAAAGTGTCTCAGACGTCCAAGGAATAAATTCTGAGAAAACATCATATCATAGGTGAATTTTAGTCTCTTTTAAAAGAAAACATGAATGAGTATCTTTAGGAGATTTTATGTTTGGAAATATTTGTCTAAACTAAAAGTGTAAAAGTCAAAACAATGTCACAAATGTTAAATTATTACTCAGCTTTTTGTGAAAATGTTTCTGCTATGTCCTGCAGGAAACATCATCCAGTTGTGAGGCTAAAGTTATTTCAATGAAAAGCTCGACATTCAGGGTATTTAATTAAAATTAGTATGTGAAATGTCTGGAATGTTAACAATATTTTCAAAACAGTTGGAAAAACAATCTGTGATGGAGAACCGAAGACACTATTGTTTTGTAAAAAACAATACAGAAAACACATGACAGCATAAATTGTCTTTTTTTGACAATTATTATTAAAGGGTTAAGTAAAAACAACTCCACATTACTCAATATCAAAACATACATTTAATAAATCTGAAAATCTCATTGTGTTCTTAATGGAAATTATATACACACATACTTCATAAATTACTCTTGATGTCCAGTGGCTACATACTGAAACTCATCCTAATATTTATTAGTATATATCTTTGGGAAAAGCAGGAACAAAATATTACAGCACACTTCAGGGGAAAGCTCTAAACTGCTGTGGTCAAGCATTCTGTTTTTCTCCATCTGCGTCAGCATGCCAATTGCTGAGTTTGTGTGCCAGCTCTTTGAAAAGACCCACTAACAGTTTGTGCCAGGAGCCTCTTTGCCAACCTCATTAGACAAAAACAAGGCACAAGATTCAGTCAGATTCCCTCTGAGATATTTATTAGTTATGAAGAGCAGAAAACACAGCGGAAACAGAGTGTCTTTTTATAATTAACTCCTTAGGAGCATATCCAAATTGAAATGACTGGAACATTATTTCAGTCTTCACTATCGACCATCATTCCCTGCTCTGGGTTTTCTATCACTGCCTTTCTGTCGCTGCATATCTCCCGTTCTGACAGGCCATATGTGCTGCAGTGCTGTTTTGTAAGAGAGGTGGAGAGAGCGCGGAGCCATGTGAGGAGCCGGCTTTAATTATGCATGAGCTTCAGCTCCCATGAGAGAACACAACTAGGCTAGCAAAGATGGAATCCGGCTCGAAGCGCAGACAAAAAAAACAAGCAAGATTTATGCTGATTCAAGAGCTGGCCTGATTTCCTGCGCTTTGATAGAAGACCCAATAAGTGTTACGCAACTTTGTCAAGGTGTTATAAACTGAAGGTAGATGATTAAAGCGGTTTTGTCTTGAAGTTCTTCAACTGGTATTGAACAAAGAAATGCACACAGGAGCAGAAAGAAGCACAAAAGCAGTGAACCATGAAAGAAATAGCATTATTGTGATCAATGAACTAACTGTAGATAAGTGAACAGAAATAATTTCTTACAAATATGATCTAAACATCCTGAATGAAACAGGATAATCAGTGAATCATTTTTACTATTTGTGCTTAACTTTGAGCGTGATTTTGACTTCAACCTATTGTATGTGGAACCCGAGAGATTCTAGAGCTCTTTTGTGTTAATTTATGGGTTTTTTGTGTGTGTTATGTGATAATTTTTGCATGTCATTACAGCAATTTTGTAAACCTTAGTGATCAGTTTGCAACTCATTCAAAATAAAACTTCAGTGTTTTGGGGTATAATATTTGATCAAAAATGTTACAGAAATATAAAAAACAGCAGAATGAATAAATTAAGCACAAATATGCATCCGCATTTATGTCATTTTTAATAAGAGTAGCACTGAGTGTAAAACTCTGGCAATCAAAGTATAAACTTTGATTGCAAGAGTTTTTCAAAGTCTAATACGCAACCAAATGCTGCATCTGCACATGACTTAGCAATTATGATATGGAAGGAATTTATATATTGATATCAATATTACTGGTATACAATTCCAAATTGATATGTTGATCAGTTCCAATAAAATAGAAAAAAAGAACTGATCTAAAAAATGTGCCAAGAGGAACGCCTCTTTAAAATCTTCACCTGTAAAGGTATAAGGCTAAAGTTCTGGAACAAACAATGTTTTCCCATTAATCAATTGTGGCCACGGAGTTTTGTTCAATTAAGCCTTAAATAAGTACAAAATGCCACTTCAAACTTTCACATAAGTAGCCAAAATGGCACTGCAGAAGTTTTGTGGACAAACATACCAGTTAGTTAAAAAATGTAAAGATAGCCTTAGATATTGTTAAGAATTAAAAAGAGGAATAACTTGATTTAGCTCGTTAATTAATTCTTTGTCCCGAATTTCTGTGTCTGTGTAAGTGTGCAGAGAGAAAAGAGCAATCATACGATGTCAGACTTCAGATATTCAGAGTTTTATCCAGAGAAAATCAATGCAAGAAGAATGTTACAATAAGCATCTCACCTAGATTATCAAAAGTCCAAGACATTACAAACAGAGACAAAGAACTGAGTAAAAAAAGACAAAAGAATAACAGAAGATGCATCCTCCGGGAAACTCTCACCCAGCTCAAAGAGATTCCAACTTCTGCTGTGAAACAAACCATTTTTTATAGAATGCGTATTCTCCTCATTTAAATATATGCATTAGAGGTGTGTTCTTTTCCTTTGTGTGGGCTGTCTTAATGTTAATTTTATTACCTCCTGCTAAAGAGCCCCAAAAGCAGATATACGGAAACCCTTCTCGTACCAGCCGCTGTCCAGTTTGATATATGATTGCAGCTGCAGTATTATCTCTGCCTCAAAATGTTTCCACAAGAAAGTAGTTTGTATTTTTAACCAAGCTTGCACACAATGTAATGCTAAATAATGACTATAAGTTTGGATCTAATAAGTAACTAATTAAAAACGTGCTTAAAGAAATATAGTTAATTCTAATATAGATAAAATTACTTTATAAAAGTTTTAAGATTCTAGTGAACTTTTGAACCATGCTCAGGAATTTGTTAATTGCCTGGCAGATAGGCTCCCTATCTAAAGAGATCCAAGGAGTCTAAGACTGTTTTCTGATTAGGAATTTCTGTAAGTTGTGAGAGTCACCAGCTGTCCCAGTTTGGATCTGTATCTAAGTTTATCTTAACCTAAAAGTTAACTTATGTACTATTGTGCTACTTTAAAATTCTTATTTCAACAATATCCATTTACTCAATTTTGCATTATGCATGTGTTAAATGATTTGCCTAAAGTTGCTGTTTTACAAATTGCTCTGACACTTCTAAGGTTAATAAGCGACCTGAGTTGGCGTGAAGGTTGCATTATTAGTGGTGACTGACATAAAATTATTTCATCACAGTAAATTATCATGAAACTTCAGGTCAGCAGGGGACTGCTGACCTGAAGCCAGGCACTGTGTAAACTTTCTATTTACACAGAAACTTCAGTTTGAACTGGTCTGAGCTTATTTTGAAAATCTTGCAAAAATGAGGAGAAAAATCACCAATTTTATTCCTCATATGTCAACTCTCGATTTGACACATTCAAATCAGAGTTTACAACAACAAAAAAAATAGATACAAAAACTTTGATCATAAAACATAAATTGTTAAATAATGAAAACATTATTTTCATTATTTAACAAGCATTAAGATGAATGATTGTGCTTTGTTTGCGTTTTCAAATAAAACACAAGCACTGCATTGATAGGCTACCTGATAGGATAAGACTAAACAGTAGTTGAAGACAATAGAGCAATATTTCGCTTTAGTGCAACAAACTCCTACTGATCCGATCATTCAGAAGTTTTAGAGTTTTTGAATGAATACAATCCCTGATGCACGTCAGCGGCAACTTTTGCAGCATAGTCAACATCCAGAGCGAAGCGATGAGGGCGGAGGAACAGGATGTTTTTTTCCCCCCTCGACCGAAAGCCTTAAATAACAAAATGTCAAGAAACCGGGAGGTTAGCGCAGGACTCCTACCTGATCGTAGCGGGGTCTCCCGAGCTGGAAAGCGGGACACGCTGCAGATTCCGCCATGACGGCCAAACTCTTTTTATTTAATTACGAACTGAATAATTAGAAGGGATTTTTACAGTCGAGCGAACTACAGTCAGTGTGTGTGAGCAACTCGGGCGAAGCGATGCGCCCCCACGCCAGCCGGGAGTTGTAGTTTTTTCCTTTGCCTTGACACTGGCAAAGTTGATGCGCATGACTACACATCCCAAATAATCGATAAGCTGAAAGTCATTGCATAACTGTTCGGATTGATGTTGGGAGAGATATAGGTGTCAGGTTGGTCCTGTGATGGCTGTGTGAGGAGGCGTGGTTTCACAGAGAAGCGATAATTAGACCTGGACCCCATTCAGTGATATGAATCACCAGGATTCTCATTTTCATTCAGTTCAATGTCAACCCAATCGCAGAGTTGATTGAATTGTGTTGGAGTGATAAAAATATAATACCGCTTGAATGGTACCAACCTTACTGTAGAAGTGAAATGGGGAAAAATAAATAAGACGCAGTGCAACCAATAAGCCAACTGATTGTTTTGTTGAAGTCTTTGAAGTTTATTGGAGCTAATTAGTGAAAATTGTGATGTTATGTTAAAAAAGTATCACAAACTCTGAACAGCTAATAGAGCACTGTTCTAACCATCATCCAAAAACAGAGTGGGTGTGGCCCAAATACAAACACACAAATATCCTCCTAAAGATTCCAGGAGCAACTTCTGAGATTTATACTGATCAGTTAAACTTTTACATTAAGTTAAAATTTTTACATTAAGTTTCATCCAAAAATTAATGCAAAACATGTCCTTAAAAGGTTTTGCATGAAGACAGAATGGCCTTAATTCTTAAGACCATTCTGTCTGTGCAGAACGTCTACATTTTTACTGCAATTATACAGATTTCTTAATTTTTGAGGGCACCTTTTCTTAATTATTATTAGTGTAGTTCAATTATAAATTCAGAAAGGGTTCTCACAACAATAAAAACAATCTGTAGAATTGTAACAAAAATGTCTAATTAAATATTTGGTATCTTAAAAAAATCATCATGGAAAAAACAGTGCTCAAATAGAAATTTGAGCAATGGAAATTGACCTTCTGTTGACCCCGTGTAGAGCAAGAGCAGATGTGTAAATACGATGCCATTTAAATTAAACAAAAATCCACATGCCCAACACCGACATCTGCATGATAGTTTTGTGACAATCACATAAAGCAATTATTTTATTCTTTCTTTGTTTTTCAGAACTATGCAATTCATTGAAGCTATACATTTCAAAGCCTGTGCACGTCTTCTATTAGATTATGTAACCTGTGTTGGAAGTGCTACACAGAATCTCTGCAGGCCAAGTTATTTTTCAATCAATTACATAATCAGATTGCAAAACAGAGTTGCTGATCGAGCAGGTCCTTGATAAAAACAGTCAGGGGCGCCCCCTAGTGGACAAAAGTGAGTCAAACAGTGTGGTTTCTGCACCAGCGTTGATGTCATATTACTGTTCATTTTTTGACAACCTATTGAGAAACAGTAACGCTCTGGGATCATCATACTATTTTGCTGAATAGAATATAAGACATACACTTAAATTAAAATAGATATTTTTTCTATTGTACATAGACTCATATATAAACACATTCAGATTCATTTAAACATTCCTTTAGCTACACACTGTCCATAGTTACCAGAAAGGTTCTGGCATAATTCTGGAAATGCATCTAACCACATTTTATCGGTGATGCCAAAACTCAGTAAAATTGGTTTGGCCCCTGACATAGAGACTTATTTTAATCATAGTTCATACAGCAGTAAGATTAAGGTCAGTAATTTGGAAAGACCTAAAATGAAAACTTTCAAAATTTAGTTTGGCATCATTTAGAACAAACAAAAAAAACTACAACCATCTGCCCCGAAATGTTGATTAGATGAAAGGAAATCAGTTGTAATTTTCAGAAGCAACCTTGAGATAAACAAGTCTCAAACTGGAAGATGCTGGAAAAAAGATACTGTCCACAAGTTGTGCACTAAGTTGTCTGAGGGAGCGCTTAACAATAAAGAAAGAAGCCAAACCTGTAGAGCATGGCTAAAAATTATAGCTGAATGTATTGACAAACCAATGGTTTCGGAAGAGAAATATTCTATTCTATAAGAAGCAGGTTTGGTTTGGATGAGTACATTTATTATCAAACTCATAGAAGAATCATTCTAAGGATATCTTTTCTTTATTTCAAGTTTGTTGTAAAATTGTTATGTTTAAATGTTAGATTCATGCCAAGAAATCAAATAATGTAAGTAGAGAATATACAGTAAGAGGTACGCCATTTGTTAATAGCCAAAGAGACCTGTGTGGTAGCTCTGCTGCCTGTAGAAAGACAGAAAAGGTAGGTGATAACCTAACTCTTGCTTCAAACATTGCTTTTGTAAGTTGAATAAGCAAAATTTTAAAAATGCATCATTAAAAAACCCACAAAACAAATCAATATGCCATTGTAGTAGATAATGAAACACTGTTTATGGAACTTCATCATAGACAAAAAACTACCTATATAAACCTGTGTTCATGTGCACTTTATTTTATTACAGTTTTGCGGTCATATAAAGCATTGCAGCTAGCTACAGTGGTGCTTCAGAGTGGCATTAGAATACATTATCATGAAAAAAGTAAAGTAACTTACAATACAGTTGTTTACAGTAAAATATTACTGTTTCTGTATGTACATAATATGATAAACACTTAAACATCGTTATTGGTTCAGTTCAAATGTGAAAAAAAGTTCAGGGAAAACTTGAACAAGACATATTTAAGTCTTTAACTCTTTAAAATGCATAAACTAAGGCTTTGACCTTAACAGTCTTCAGACCTACAAAATGTTGCTTTGACATTTGTGAGTTTGCAAAGCAGTTTTTCCCCCTTTTTGTACTTTTAATTTTTCATTCAGAAGAAGTAATAAGTTTAATTTGACTCTTTAACATACTCTCTATGGTATGAAATAATCTGAAATTAGATTGTTTTGCCAGAAATCAAACTTTTTATTTCAAAGACAAATTGAGTCTGATTGTAAATTCTATTAGAGCTAATTCAAAGCACTAGAAAAATTTATTTTTTCAGTCTACATTTATTTTAAGCGCATGCAAAACCCGCCATTTTTAAGATAAAATGGCAAAAGCTGACTAAGTTATTCTACTACAGAGAGCTGTGTGAAATAATCATCTGCGTCTGCTTTTATGGAAGCTTTTATTATGGCATGTCTTCAGTTTTTTGTTTGTGCCAAACTCGGAAAAAGTAACCAGCATGCATAAAAGTTTATATTGTGTCTACATCAACAAGGCAGTAGTATCAGCAGTGAGACAATCTGGATCATTTTGAGTCCAAATTCATGGAGAGTTTCTCCAGAATAATACCTCCTATCTGAATGAAAGAATCTTTGCAAACTTTGCTAATCTCCAAAACAACACTGGCTCAGTTGTTACTTGTGCCTTGAGCGTACTTGAAGCAGTGTGGGCGTCTGCTCCATGATCCGCAGTAACAGATTATCAATGTAGTCCTCCAGGTCTCGAACCTGCGCCTTCACTTTCTTCAGCTCTGCCTCAACCCTCTGCAGCTGCGCCCCCTGCTGGTCAGATGCTGCCTGCTGCTTCTCCATGTCCATCTCCTGCTGCAGTAGCAGGGAGATCAGTTCCATGTTGGTAAGATGTTGATATTGAGCCAATCTGTCTGCGGTAACCTCCTGCAGAGAGAGCAGATTTGTGTAATTATGTTTACTTGCCAACTTTTTGCCTTTTATTCTAAGCAAAATCCAAACTATCAAAGATTTTCTTCTGTAAACCCCTCCGTTCCGTAAATGACACATTTTTCTGTCTTTTTATAATCTCTTATTTCACAACATCTAAAAAAGGTCAGCAGAGTCCAAGATGAAACTCTTTGATTTAATCTACTGTCAGCTTTATCTGAGCATTACTTGGTCTAAACTCAGGATCTGTGTCTCCATCCAAGTTGTTTTGAAAGGTTTTATAAATAATCATTCTCATTGTTTATTTATTATCTACTCTGAGTAGTTTGAAGATGTGCTCTCTGTTCATTCAAGTCAATGACCAAAAACTAAAAGCCATGCTGTCTCAACTTTGTTTACGTTAACACAAAGTTGGTTCAATATTTTTGATCACAAAAAAGAAGCTCTGAAATCAGAACTCAAATGTTTCTTTAAAAATCTGAAAGACTTTAGAAGTGTTGTATGAAAGACTTAGAACAAATTGATCTTTTTATCTGTACCGGACTCTTCTCAGGTTCAGGTGTGGCCTGATGGGTGGATCGTCCTGGATTTATGGTAGATTTTAGCTTCTCAAGAACTGAGCGACCCTCTTTCTTCTCAGGCTGGCTGGATGTCAATGGTTTCACTGGATGAGACCTGAAAAGGGAAGAACTTTGGACTAGCATTCTAGCATGCTGCAAAGCTTACAATAATCCAAAATGCATTTTGAATGACTCAGTTTTGCAAATCAAACTTGAGGACAGAGAATGTTTTAATAAGTACATATCGAGAAAAAGCAGAATACATAAAGGCCATCGGTAAATAAAGCACTAGTCTTTATGAAAGAATTGATGTCAAAAATGGGAAAAATTATATACAGTTCTTCCATTTAGTCAATAATGAGTAATTGTTTACAAAACTAAATATTAAATTGGAACATATAGACATACAGAAAAAGTTGACCAGAAGTCACTATATTTTTAGCTTGTATGTATATGATATCCTTTCACTGTGAAGTCGTTGTCTTTTCCATTTTCACTGGCTGGAACTGAGCCTTAAGATAAGAAGAGGAAGTCAAGTCCTCAAGGATTAAATAAATTAGCTATGGAGAAGAATCAGCTGTCTGGTATCACCTTGCTTTAAACAAATGTGCATCAAGAAAAAAAAACAGCAATCGCCAGCTAGTTAGAAACTCAAGCATCAGATGATCTACCAATTTGTGAAAGCACATGATTAACCACTATCAGGCTGCACTGACAACTTCTCTTTTCAGTGTGGAACTTTTTCCTGAGGGAAAAACTCAAAGTTATTGTTTTTCAGTATTAGGAAGCGTTAAGATATAAAAAAGTTGTAAAAAGAAAATTGTTTTCAACAGATGCCAAAACACATTTGTCTGGGGGAAAGAAAAAAAAGAAGCATTGGTTTTTGTAACGAAAGCAGTGCTAACAACTCTCATAGCTAATAATGAATTATAAATTTTATATATACAA